TTTATTTTTCAAATCATTCGATTTGATAACAACTAGATTTTTCAACGAATGATGCAAAGGAGGATCGACTAATAATGACATATCTTAATATTTTGTTAATATCGTGTAGATACATAGTTGATATCTAATATACAAGCGCAAATCATTATATTCCCGTTTTTGTAATGAAGATGCAAGTTTTTCAAAAAATTTTTTTGTATTTTTCAACGTAATTCCCTTTCAGAAGGATAAACATTTCCCAACGCACTTGCCATTCTTTTAACCCCTTTGAAAATAACAATTTGTGGAACTCTGCAAAGTATGTCTCTGTTTTGGCGATGACCTCCTCATTCGACGTGAATCTCTTTCCACCGAGCCATTTTGCCAAGTTTGAAAATAGGAAGAAGCCACAGGGAGCCAAATCCGGAGAGTACGGTGAATGCAGCAGCAATTCGAGCGCTATTCGACCAATTGAGCTCTGGCGACTGCGGAGGAGTGAAACGGTGTATTGTCGTGGTAAAACAACACTTTTATTTTTGCCAAATAGGGCCGTATTTTCTTCAATTCAACATCGGCCCAATAACTCAGTATAATACTGCCCTGTAATAGTTTTTCCCTTCTCCAAATAATCGATGAAGATCACGCTATGCACACTCCAAAAAGAGTAGTCATCACCTTCCCGGCCGATAGGACCGTCTTGGCCTTCTTCGAAACACGTTCGCCGGGTGAAGTCCACTGTTTTAACTGTTCCTTGTTTTCGGTGTGAAGTGATGGATCCATATTTCATCAACGATTACGACTCGACGCAAATACTCATTGCGTTCATATTCCTCCAAACATTCCTTCGAAATTGATAGCTGCTTCCGCTTGTTGTCCACCATAAACAATCGCGGCACTCATTGCGCCGAGCTCTTTTCATTCCAAAGTTATGATGTAAAATATTAAATGCTGTTCCGTACGACATGCCTACGGCATTTGCTATTTCACGTATTTTCGTTTGACAATCAACGAGAATCATGTCGTAGAACTTTTCAACAATTTCCTCAGTAACCATGTCTGCCGGACAACTTGGGCACTCCTCATCAAAAACAAATAAACGACCACGTTTGAATTTGTTGAACCAATATCTGACGGTTGTCATAGATAGTGAAGGTTCTCATATACGGCATCCAAGTCCGTTTTCATTTCTTCGTATGTTTTTCCATCCAAAAATAAAACGCGAATCACGGATCGATATTGCATTTTCCATTGTATCAAAGAACATCAAATACGGTCACTACAAATTGCTGTTGAATCCAAACTATCGCATGAATCATTCTGAAATTTTGTATAACATCGTTTGAAAAATGTACACGATGTATGAATGTAGTACACGATGGTATTACCAAACTGCTTCAGCAACGCCGCCTGTCTTCAAGCACGAATATTTATTGATTTGCCTATGTATCTATATGTAGAAGACATTATGTAGGAGTCAATCTATTATTAACTATTTAATCGATATTAAGTTGTTATAATATTAAAATCGAATCGTTATAACCATATATTAACTTGAGATACGGATACGGATAATACGAGGGTGGATCAAATATAAACGAGCCTTTTTAAATTGCACGCCCGTCAGCTGCATGAAGGATCTACAACGTTTTGAACATTGGAGGAAGGTCATGTAGAAGGCAGTAATAACGTTGGCGCGCCATGTGCTTCTTACTCTCAGCAGCAATCACGATGAGTGAGAAAGAGGTACACTCCGCAGTTGCACAACATGTTACTATTAAGTTTCTCGTCAATGAAAATGTAAGTGATTCTGAAATTCGGCGCCGTTTACTCCCACAGTTCGGGGAAAGAACCCTTTCAAGGGCTCGGGTGAAGCAGTGGTGTAACGAATTTAAGTAAGGATGGGAGTGCGTTGAAAACACTGCCCACCCACGCCGTCCCCGCACCAGCATCACAGCGCAGAACACCGAGGCTGTTCGAGAACTCATTGAAGGCGATCGGCACTTAACGGTTTTTGAAATCTCTCAGGAACTTCAGTTCGAGCTGCCTATCGATCAAAAAGGCGCGGCATTCCGATCAGAAGTGTGTTGTTTCTCCATGACGAAGCCAGATCCTACATCGCAACAGTAACACAACAAAAATTGGCCGATATGCACTAGACTGTCCTAGAACATTTACCCTACAGCCCAGACCTGTCACCATGCTACTTCCATATGTTTAGGCCACTCAAGGAAGCCTTTGGTGGACAACGCTTCACAACAAACGAGGAGGTGCGGCAATTGTGCAATTGATTTGATACACATCCGCCAACTTTTATGATATCGGGATTAAAGAATTTTCTGACCGTTGGAGGAAGTGTATAGATAATATGGGGGACTATGTGGAAAAATAGGAAAAATGTAAATTATAATTGATTTTGAAAAATATGTTATTCTTTTTTCAAAAGGCTTGTTTATATTTGATTCACCCTCGTATTAATATCTTTGAGCAATTAATATATTTTCTAAATAATTTGTTATAAATAGACAAAAACTTGAAGATGTATATATTTTAATTAAAAAATGGAATTGTAACTGAGCAGCATAATTGTTATACTGCGACACTTTTGTTACGTAAGATATATATATTAAAGGTTTTAAATCGTATATTTTTTGAACGTTCCCATTTTGTTTGAATATAATCATTTTGAATGAAACAAACCAAGTGAACGTAAAGCAAACGTTTACGTGCTGCTTGGATGAATATCTGACGTTCCGACTATCGTATCTAGAAAAAAATATGTGAACGCGTGCGATAACGAGGGATGCAAGGCACAGGATACTATTACAGACCCTCTTCTGTGCAAATGTCATTCTCGTCTTTTAGTGTTGTGCCCCGACATCCGGTGCACACTGTTACCACCGAAGGGTCTCTGGCGACCGAATAATAGCGGTATAACCAAGTTACCGATAAGATACAATCGGAACGCAGGAAATGGCGTTTCCTCACTCCAGCACCTACACTTGGTGAAAGCCAGTATCAGAGCTTGAAGATGGCAGCCCCACAATGGCTGTTGTGGGTTAATAACCCGCAATTCCCGCTTAAAAAACATAACTATTAATGAAACCAAGAGAAGCGACCGGACGGATTTTGAAAGGACGACGACCTTTGGCTTGAAAAGGGATATGATTATTGGATTCTGAAACGTAAGAACACTCTACAATACTGGGAAGTTGAGACAGCTCGCAGCAGAGGCGGAAAGATATAGACTGCATATCCTGAAGGTGAGTGCGATGAAACAAGTTTGGTGAGATGAGAACTACAAATGGGCAAGTCGTTCTGTACTCCGGGAAGCCGAATGAAAATGACCCACATAAGAAAGGAGTAGGACTGTTACTGAGTAGGAAAGTGAGGAATAGCCTGCTTGATTGGAAGCCCATTTCACCAAGGATCATCTTTGCTTAGTTCAGGGGGTGGATAAGGAATGTGACAATCATTCATTGCTATGCGCCAACAGAGGCCGCCGAACTAGAGGCAAAGGTAAAATTCTACGCACAGCTAAAAGAGATCACATATACAACCAAAATGAAGGATATAGTCATAGTTACGGGTAACCTTATTGCAAGGTTAGGAGCTGAAAAGCTAGGCCTGGAACAAGTGATGGGCCGCCATGGAATAAGTGATATGAATGACAACGGGGGAAGACTGGTGGACTTTTGCGCTAAAAATGATCTAATCATCGGCACTATCTTTCCACGCAAGAAATTCCATAAGGTGTCGTGGATGTCCCCGAACCTTCATACTTAAAACCAGATTGACCACTTTACCATCAGAAAGAAGTGAAAAAAATATCAATTAGATGTTAAGAACTGCAGGGGGGCAGATATAGGCAGCGACTACCATCTGATGACCGCACATATCCGCATTAAAATTGCAGCTGCCAGAAAAACATATACCCCCCAAATAGAAGAGGTTTGACGTGGGGAAACTGCGTGATGAGAAATATAAACAACAGTTCAAAGTGACACTATCCAACATGTTTGAGGCATTTTGTGCAGAGGAAAGTGATAATGAACGCGTTTACGAGCACAGCGGAAAGAGTGCTTGGATCAACAGACAAAAAGAAAAGAACGGATGACAGCGAACACTTGAGAAATCATAGAAGAGAGAAGAGAACTGAATATCACGCTGAACAACAGTAGGACTCGAATCCAAAGGTCCGAACTACAAACAGCTTACTAAACCAAAGATTGGGAAATGAAGAAGAGTATTAAGATGGACCGCAAACGGTAGATCGTTGACTTGGATCAAAGAGCGGAATTAATAGCAGATGCTGGTAATATGAAGAAATTATATGACATTATGAAAACGCTAGCCAAGAAGAAATATATTCAAAACAAAGAACAGTTAAGAACAAAGAGGGAATACTGCTCACCAACAAGGAAGATCAGTTAGCCAGATAGTGAAAGCACGTCGCAGAGATACTAAACCGGGGAAATGTGGAAAGTGAGAATCCTGAATTTGAGGAAGAGAATGACACGTTAAACGACGACATAAAGTCTGAATCACCCTCGAGAAAGGAAATCAAATCAGAAGTAAAACAGATAAAAAACGGAAAGGCGCCTGACATTGACAATATCGCACCAGAATTGCTGTCGGTGGATGTGGACATTGCAACAGACCATCTACACCCATTATTTAACATGATACAGTGCTCAGGAAGTATGCCCAAGAAGTGAAAAGAAGGTCTTTTGGTCAAGGTGACGAAGAAAGGAGATAGAATCATCTGCAACAACTGGAAAGGAATCACCTTGCTATTAATCACCAGTAAAGCGCTGTCAAGAGTGATTCTTAACTGAATCAAACCTCAAGTAGAAAAACAATTCAGGAAAGAGCAGGCAGGCTTTAGAAGCAATCGATCTTGCACGGATCAAATCAACACACTCCAGATGATTATTATTGAACAGTCGAATGAATTCACTTCTTATTTACACCTTCTGTTTCTGGACTTTGAGAAAGCCTTCAACTCTGTCAAGCGAAGTAGTATGTGGAGGGCACTGAAGAGACTTGATATACACGGGGAAATTATTGAGATCATCAAAGAGGCCTATAACGACTTTACATGCAGGGTCGTACATCAGGGAAAAATCACGGAACCCTTCGCAGTGAGCTCCGGTGTGAAGCAGAAATGCATCTTGTTACTCACTATCTTCCTCGCTGTGCTTAATGAAGTAATGAGAAACACCACGGAGGGGAAGAAGAGAGACATCCAATGGGGACTCACCAAAAGACTAAAGGATTTAGATTTTGCGGACAACATCTATTTGTTGGCTCAGAATTACACTGATTTGGAGGGAAAACTCCGAGACCTTGAAACCGAGGCCAGAACTACCGAGATGCAAATAAATATTGCCACAAACAAAAGGATGAAAATCAATACCAGAGACCAAAGAGAACTTCATATAATTATCGGAAAGATAGAGGAAGTGGGGGAGTTCACATATCTTTGCAGTATAGTAACCCGAAAGGGAGGGGCAACCGCAGATGTCAAAGCAAAAATCCGCAAAGCGAACGCAGCCTTTATCCAGCTATACCCACTGTAAAGGATGAAAGGGATTTCAAATGCAACCAAACTCCGCATCGTCAAGACCAATGACAAGACGGTATTATTATAGAGCTGTGAAACCTGAAAGGTAATCATTAGGAGCCTAGAGATCTTTATTAATAGATGTCTGCGAAGAATAATGCGCATCTTTCGGCCAAGAATGACCTCCAACAAAGAGCTATGGAGACAGATGAAAGAGGAACCGGTAAACAAACAAATTAAACGTAGGAAATTGAAGTGAATTGGTCACACTCTCAGGAAAGATCGCAGAGCAGTAGAGAGACAAGCCGTATTCTGGAACCCCCAAGGACATCGTAAAAAGGCAAGGCAATGTCATAGAGAAGAACGGTGGAGAGAAAGGCAGAGAGAGTAGGTAAAACCTTTGCGAAGCTGAAGAGTTTGGCCGGGAACAGAGTGCTTTGACGCTGCTTCGTCAAGGCCTTATGTTCTGTCTAAGAGCAAAAGAAGATGACTGACTAACAGTGTGATAACGAAATAGTAACTGCAATGAGCAAACTGGTAACGTAGATGAAAAATAGTAATGAGAATGTCCGAGATGGTAAGTAAGTCGGGTTTTTATAAGAAAAATTTGGAAAGTGGCAGATAATGATTACCAATGAGATAAATCTGCGTGGAAAGGAGATGTGGAAGGTTAGGAAGTTTTCCAATGAATTTTTAAAGGGGAAATGTACGAGGTGGTGACAACCCTTCAGATATAGGAGAAATTGACCACTCCTACGACTGAGGAAAGGGATGTTTAGAAATGTATCTTTCTTCTGGAGGAAAAGTGGGTGGAGGTGGGACGTGTCCTTAGAATGTTGGCAAATCAAAAGAGAACCCATACCATATGAGGGAGAAAAGAGATCGCTGCATTTTTGCGCCTTTTCTGGATGAGAGGAGAGAGAAATATAGCGTAATTCCGATGTGGGGGTGAGTGTGAGTTGCGTCAGTTTATTGACGGGAAGTTAGGACGTGGGAAGGTTTGTTTTTCTGGAATCGTATAATCTTTCTGACTTTATGGGGCAATGATAGCTATTCGCGGCATTTTTCTTTATCCTCTTCGCAAACGGACATTTTGGGAAACAACAGTCGTGTCTGGCGGTGCATTATTGAGGTCTTATGAGCAAATTGTGGATCTATGTTTTATGATTAACCAATGTCTTTTTACATCTGATCTGCCTCTTTAGGCTAGGTTCCTAATCTTATTACAGTGTGCCACTCGGTTTAATGCCTCTATTTGCCAATGAAAAGAGAACGAGGAGATAGTAAGTGAAAAAAATGCATTATCCGTGAAGTATGTAAGACATAACAGTATTTTGTATTTCTTCTATCTAGGTAAAGATAAAGATGATCTATTCAATCATCTGGTTGATTATTTAGATAATTTTATCAAAATACCGGCAAACACTGGCAATGTACTATACAAATGCGTGGAAAACCAACGAACCATTCTTAGAAACGAATTGTAACAAGTAACGGGAAATAGATCGTTTAAAATAACGTTGAGTGGAAAAGGTCGTGGAGCAAAAAATGTGAACCGACATTATTTAATTTGATACCTGGTTTGCATTCGAAGAATGTCATGCTCTCCATTTGGTGGAATTGGAAGGGAATCATGCATTATGAGCTACTACCGAATAATATCCAAACGAATCCATCAAATTCGGACAAATACTGTTTGCAACTGGATCAATTGAAAGCAGAAATAAACAAGAAATGCACGGAATTAATCAATTGGGAGAGAGTAATTTTACATGATAACAACGCTAGGCATCGTACTTCTTTACAGATCTGACAAAAATTGCTAGAGTTTGGCTGAAATGTTCTATCTTACTCAACATATTCACTCAACACAGTATCTTCCGATTATTACTTATTCCGGTCATTACAGAATTCCCTTAATGGTTTAAACTTAGCTTTTTTGAAACGCCTCGAAAACAACTTGGGCAGATTCTGCGCCGAAAAACCACAGGACTTCTACGAAATTGAAATTATGAAATTATTTGAAAGATGGAAGACAATTGTACAACAAAATGACGCATATATTACAGATTAAAATTATTTTTAACAAAAAAAATCTTTCATTTGAATTTTTTTCGAAAATCTATATGGAGTTTCCGAATAACCTAATGTGTTCAGATATAAATCATACGCTTGTACAAACATTGGACATTTGCAAAATTACAGTTTGTCTCACAAGAGCGTGTCAGCGATATCTTTCAAACTTGATAACTAATAAAAACGAGACCATAATAATCTAAATGTATACACTCCTCTTGAATACGCGTTAATTCAGTTTCTTTCAGATACTTTTGCATCATTAAAGAGAACAAAGCTTCAGAGTTGAGTGCTGCGTATACAAAACGGTTTGAGGCTGTTTTCCTGTGTAGTAACCCAAATGGGCTAAAAATGAGTTTTGCAAGTGCTGCTAAATACCTGCATAAGTCGTCACAGTTCGTTAGGAAACTAGTGAAATGATATAAACAAAATAGAAAGTGTCGATGACTTTCCAGAACGCGGCTCAAAGCGAAAGACTGCCAACAAGGAAGATAAAGTGATTCTTTGAATTTTTGAGAAAAATCCGAATCTTCCTTTATAAAGAGGACAAACTGTTTTAGCAGAAAGCGTGTAAACATTAGTATAATAACACTGAAACGTGGTTTGAAAAAGCATAATGTCAAATGGCGTAGTACAATATCAAAACTGTAACTATCAAAGAAGCATGTCGAAAATCGTGTGGCGTGGGGTCGTCAAAATATTGATCGTGACTGAAGCATCACCGTGTTCAGTGATGAATCTTCCTTTTGGGCCTGGTGTATTATTAGAAATGCTTGGTCTAGCCGTAGGCAACCAGTAATAGAAAGGTGTGTAAAATACCCGATATAACTGCATATTTGAGGTTGATTTAACGTACTGAGTTTCGGGAGTTGGTTCGTCTTCACAGACAATTTGTATGCACAAAAAATGTTAAAATTGTTTCAAAAGAGACTTCTCACATCAGTTAAACGTTGGTTTAGTGAAACTGAAGACGAATGGATTATGCAAGAAGATAGCAACCCGAAATTTCGAAGACGAATATGTACCGAATGGAAAGTGACAAATAGCATCATTGTATTGAATTGGCCTTTCCAGTCCCCTGATGCAAATCCGATAGAAAATATGTGGTCCATAATGAAGCACAAACTAAAACAAAACGAAGCACAAGGAAAACGTATATTAAAATTAAAAACTTTAATAAAACCTATTCGTCAAATATGGAAATCGCTACCTGTGTCATACGCGGAGAAATTGATAGAAAATATGCCAAGAAGATACGAAGCTATAATTTCTGACGAAGGAGATTGGACACACTATTAAAGTAAAAGCGTATTAGTATTTTCTGTATACTTTCGATTTATCGACATAAAATTGCAAATAAATTTATATTAATAGAAATATCGCCGACACACTCTTGTGTGGCAGACTATATATGTAGATGAGCTATCGTTTTTCACATAAGAAATACAAAGAATAGTTTAATATGGTATTACCTAAAATTTATTTATAAAATCCTATTGTAATTATATCATACATCAATATTTATATTATTGAAAAGGAATTTGAGTATCACTAGGAATTTGAAACCTTTGTTTACAGATTACGGAAAAAACATTTGTAATATTTCATTAGATTTTTTTAGTCGAATCTTAATATTTATATTATTGAGTCAGATCTTCCTTACTGTTGTTTTTTATATGAGATTCACCATATCGTATTTCTGAATCAGAATTCGAAATTTCTAGATTAACATGGCGTCAACGCTACAGAGCCAATCACGCGCCAGCACGGGGTGTGGGGTGATGTGTCAATAGCCAGTCACCCGTTCGGCGGGGCACTAACTATCAACACATCCTCACGTGATCGGCAGCCAATGTGTAAAGTAAATATTATTTGAATGTGTGTAGCATTTTTTCGGCCCGGCAGTCAACGTGTTAATCGTATCATATGCAAAAGAACATAGAGATGCAATCGTTTCTTTCCAATAAATACAAATTGATTTGCCTAACGGACCATAGAAAGATTAATAATAAAATTTTATCGGGCTTCTGCTGAAATCAAATATTTATATTATATATAAAATATAAATATTATATATAAAATATATATAAATATATATAATATAAGAAAGTAATTTTGATCATACATCCGTCTGCGATCGGAGTCGGGGAAGTGCTACGACAACGACTGTTGCCGGTCCTAAACCCGGATCAAGTAAGGAGGGTTTGCCTAGGAGGCCAGGCTAGCAGCCTACTCTCTCTAAAAAGAACCGATGCTCAAAGCACCGACATAAAGCCTCGGAACTGAAACGATACAACGATAACGACTCATGCGAGAAGAAGGAAAACAAGACGAAACAACAATAAACTGAGAATAAGTACCTGGAACATTATTACATCGCTTGATAATAAAGATCAGGAAATCATAGAGGGATTAAACCAGAAGAAAATTGCGATCTGTGCTATATAAGAAACAAAAAAAGGGGGAAAAGCCAAAGACATACAGCAACTATACGTTGATATACTGTGGCATAAATAAAGAACAGCGAGCCAGGGCAGGAATATATTATTACACATAAATTATAAGGACAACATAAAGAGATGGCAATATATTGAGTATGGAAATTTGTTTCCGTCTTTTCTTAATGAAAAAGAGGTATTTATTTAAACTAAACGATGCAAAATGAGTTCATTCAAAGTATGCTCCATTGGAAGCGACAACTTTCTCACAGCTTCTAGAAAATAAACGGATTCTTCGAAGGAAAAAAATCTTGTTCTTTTGAAACGATCCATTCATCAAGCCATTTTTTGATACCTTCATAAGAACTGAATAGCTCTCCAAAAAGGGCCGATTACATGAACAGATGGAAATCTGAAGGAGCAATGTCCGATGAATACGGCGCATGGGGCAGAATTTCCCACTTTACTTTTTCCGAGTATTTCTTGACCGGTTTTGCAACGTGTGGCCTAACGTTGTTATGTAGCAGAATCAGCTTGTCATGTCTATTATCTCACTCCGGTCATTTTTCTTTTAAAGCTTGGTTCAAATATATCAGCTGTAGTCAATTGCCAGTAATGGTTTCGGACGGTTTCAACAGCTCATAATATACAACACCCCTTTGATCCCATCAGATGCACAACATAATCTTCGAAGCATGAGTATTCCATTTTGGCGTTGATGGACCTGGTTCATCTGGCATCACCCATGTTTTCGGGCGTTTAGGGTTATATTAATATATACATTTTTCATCGCCAGTCACTATATATGCAGAAAACCTTTCCTTTGTTGTCGTTGAAGCAGTATCTCACACGTGACCCGTCTTTCCATGACTCTCTCTTTCAATTTCTCATCTCTTTTACAATTTGAATGACACCCTTTTTTTGCACAATTCCCATTGCGTGTAGATGTTTTTCTACGGTGCGTCTGTAAACATTTAATTTTTTTGACAACTTATCGAGCGATCGACATGGATCTTCTTCGAGTAATGCTTGCAATTCTGCATCTTCACATTTTTTCAATGCACTCTCGCGTTCTTTGTCACGCACGTCGAAATAACTATTGTTGAATCGCCGAAACCATTATTTACAGGTAGTATTCGATGCAGCATGTTCACTGTAAATATCTGCGAGTAAACAATGCGTTTCCGCAGCACTTTTCCTTAAAAGTTAATTGAGTAAAACTTTCTGTAAATTATGCTTCATTGGAATAAATTCTGACATTTTCAACGCAAAAAATTACTCTTGTTTACGCTTCGAACAAATACCAACTATTGCGAGCGAAAGCTTGAACACATACCTTTCAAATATATGTATTGTCGTTTTATCAAACACATAAACCGTGATACTAACATCTCTCTACAATTGGCGGATACTTATTCCCATGTCCAATATATCAAAAAGAATATTACTTATAAAGATCACACTCGACCACCGGAGGTTAAACATACTCTCTGTATATAGCCCTAAGGACTGCAAACCACAACAAGAGTGGGAAGAGAACTTATAAACTACGGTAGACACAATACCCACCGTAGAACCCACGATAAAATTTGGAAACTTTAACACATGTATAGTCAGCGGAATATTACCCGGAATTAAACAAAATTTTAATGAGGAGCGCCTTTACCTAAATGGAGAACTAATGATCAACTTCTGCTCCTATAACGAACTGAGAATGAACAATACATTCTTTGAGCATAAAGACTGGTATAATTACATTTATCAAAATACGAGAGGACATAAGTCGAAGATCGATTTTATAATAACTAATAGAAAAGAGCGCGAGCGTAGCATAGCGGACAGCGCATTTACTGTGCTAGAGGTCCCGGGTTCAATCTTGGTAGAAACCAAAATATTAACGCTTGTGTCTCCCCTTGGAACGAAGTGGCAACCTACCAAGAGTATCCTTTCCTTTTCGTCTCTCTAAAAATTTG